TTGAATTTCCGCGTTGCCGAATGTCCCTTGTTAGATGAGAGTAGCCAGCAAATATACGTGCGAGTGCATTTACAATTGCTTTTCTAAAGTCGAAAACTACCATCCGTGGCACTGGAGAACCACCCCTAATTATTTCAGATAAGAAATAATTTATTATAGAGACATCTTGTTTTGTAGATACCATCTGGAATACTGGGAAGCTACCAACTTCCGAAATACATGTGATTTGATATAAAAATATGATTTTTCACCATTTGGCAAATGTATTTTCTTCCCAATACTTCCAGTAGCATCTATCGCAAGGAAGCAATTTATGTCTTGTTTATGGGATTTCTTGTACATTAAACGTTGTTCTTCGCTCCAGTACATACAAAAAAATGGATTAATTCCAATATTACGAATGGTTTGAGGAAACTTTGTATATTTAGCTATTTGTACATTTTTTATTGGGTCAGTACTACTGAATTCTAGACGTTTTTCTAGTTCGGTTTGTTTAGCTTTGCGCAATACTGTAGTATCGTATAAAATTGGTGGAACACTATCTCCAAATTTCATGAGTCTATTGGCTTCTTCATTATGCCACACATTTGCACTTTCCTTACTATCTAACATTTGCTCGCAATTTCCATACGCAATGGGCCGTGTAATTGTCTTTTCTTTTTGCGTGGAATGTTCGAAGAAAAGCCAGTGAGCATACATTTAAATATGACATCGATCGTTTTCTTAGGCTTACTGTGCAAGATACCCTCCAAGTGTGCAGCGCATTCCTTACATCTACCAGTAAATTTTGCGTAACATTTTGCATCGTTATTTGTAAAAACTTTTGCACGCTTGAAAGAAATTGCACATGGTAATGCTACCTGTTGCCATATCTTTTCCGCAAATACATGCGTCCATTTCCCGCATTGTAGTGTTACATAATTTCGTCCGTAACGTCCATATGTCTGATGTATTGGTTTCATACATAGCCATTTCTCTTCAGATATTAATAGCTTAAATTTTTTTACGGATCCACTTTCGGTTAAGGATGAGTTATTTATGTCTGATACATTTAATGAAGTATTTTTAGAACTGTTTACACTTTTAGTATTTATTTGAAATGCTTGTAACACGGCGCTGTGTATACTATTTCTATCATTTTTTAAAATGGTATAAATGTGCTTTGCAGAAATATAATATTGTTGCACTCACTCTCGCACTCGCGCTTTCACTCGGGTAAATAAAAACACCCGCGTAACGACTAAGAAGCTTTAATATTTACAGAACAACTCGCTCACGCTTTAAACAAGAATAATTCTCTATTTTAATAATTCTGAATTCTCGCGTCTGTTTTCGATGACAGCTTGCCAGAGACTCTCTCAGCTGTTCTTGTTGTTTACTTCTTCTCGATTTTCCGTCGTCAGGACAATCCTCGCTCAGATGTCAAAATCAGCATCAGATGTCTAAGGTTCACGGACAACGGACGTCGCCACAAACGTTGTGGCTCGGACACAACACTATCCCGTACCTGCAAACATCTCAGAAATTATTTTATATATTTCGTTAGGTGGTGGAAATATTTTACCCTCATCATCTACTGTTCGGTAATCTTGATTGGTTAAATAATTAAGTAATTTTACCTTGTCATACATCGTTCTTGATCGTCCTCCTTTGTACCGTGTTGAGTGGAAGAATAGACATTAATGCGTTCGATTCAGTCGTTCTACATCGCCTCGAACACAAATGACGATCGACGACGCACTCCGCGCGGTATCGTAATATGAGAAGCAGCGGCATATCTTTGATTTTCAGTAAACTTTAAATTTTAAACACTGCTTCTTATATTACGACACCGCGCGAAGCGAGAGTGCGTCGCCGATCGTCATTTACGTTCGAGGCGATGTAGAACGACTGAATCGAACGCATTAATGTCTATTCTTCCACTCAACACGGTACAAAGGAGGACGATCAAGAACGATGTATGACAAGGTAAAATTACTTAATTATTTAACCAATCAAGATTACCGAACAGTAGGTGATGAGGGTAAAATATTTCCACCACCTAACGAAATATATAAAATAATTTCTGAGATGTTTGCAGGTACGGGATATTATATTTCTGCAAAGCACATTTATACCATTTTAAAAAATGATAGAAATGGTATACACAGCGCCGTGTTACAAGCATTTCAAATAAATACTAAAAGTGTAAACAGTTCTAAAAATACTTCATTAAATGTGTCAGATATAAATAACTCATCCTTAACCGAAAGTGGATCCGTAAAAAAATTTAAGCTATTAATATCTGAAGAGAAATGGCTATGTATGAAACCAATACATCAGACATATGGACGTTACGGACAAAATTATGTAACACTACAATGCGGGAAATGGACGCATGTATTTGCGGAAAAGATATGGCAACAGGTAGCATTACCGTGTGCAATTTCTTTCAAGCGTGCAAAAGTTTTTACAAATAACGATGCAAAATGTTACGCAAAATTTACTGGTAGATGTAAGGAATGCGGTGCACACTTGGAGGGTATCTTGTACAGTAAACCTAAAAAAGCGATCGATGTCATATTTAAATGTACGCTCACTGGCTTTTCTTCGAACATTCCACGCAAAAAGAAAAGACAATTACGCGGCCCATTGCATACGGAAATTGCGAGCAAACTGTTAGATAGTAAGGAAAGCGCAAATGTGTGACCTCTGTGAAGTTGACCCCTCATTCCTCAATTTTGAAAAAATTATTAGAGTTCTGAATGTCCTTCGCAGAGTTCTAGAGTTCGCAATCCTTTATAAAAAGAGTTCTGTCATTTAAAGTAGAGAAAATACTATTTTAAAAATCGGAGGGCCAACTTCACGACGCCCCTCATTATGTAAAAAATGCAAATTTTTTTAGAGTTCTGGATAGACTTTTAATTGTTCTATAGTTCTAGATAAGTTTTAAAAGTTCTGTTTAAAACACTAAGAAAAATTATAATTATAGTTCTCGAATTAGAAAACGGAAAATGGCAAGAACTCTCTCAATTTTGGTTTTAGCGCGTCGAGTGTTAATAATAATATTTAGAACTCGTGAGGGGCTAACCAGAACTCTGAATAAAATATAGGATTTTCAAAAAAATTGATTGTTTATTAAACACGTAAAATTTTTTTCTCGAAAATCCGGCGTTTCATTCATAGTTCTGGTTAGCCCCTCACGAGTTCTAAAGATTATTATCAATACCCGGAGCGCTAAACCCAAAATTGAAAAAATTTTGCCGATTTTCGTCCCTCGAGACGAATATTTCCATGTCCCTCTGATCGAAAATTCTTTTTCGCAAATCCGACGTTTCATTTAGAGTTCTGGTTAGCCCCACACGTGTTCTAAAAATTATAGTCAACACTCGGAGCGCTAAAACCAAAATTGAAATAGTTCTTGCGATTTTCGTCCCTCGAATCGAATATTTCTATATTCCTCGGATCAAAAATTCTTTTTCGGAAATCCGACGTTATATTCAAAGTTCTGGTTAGCCCCTCACGAGTATTACAGATTATTACGAACACCTGGAGCGCTAAAACCAAAATTGAAAGAGTTCCTGCCGATTTCCGTCCCTCGAGTCGAATATTACCATGTCCTTCGGTTCAAAAATTTTTTTTCGGAAATCCGACGTACCATTCAGAGTTCTGGTTAGCCCCTCACGAGTTCTAAAGGTTATTATTAACATTCGGAGCGCTAAAACCAAAACCAAACAACTCAAAACTGAAATTTAAAACTGAAAAGATTCAGCGACTTTCGCCTTTTGAGCGTCGAGAAAAATTATAATTATTACGTATATTAACTTACTTATAATTAATATACAGGGTGCACGATTCATCTGAAAACATTGAAATATCTCGAGAACTATGCATTGGATAAAAAAAAGTGGTTAATGAAAGTTGTTAGTCTTGAAGGGGGACATCCAATAATACCAAACTCGACCTCCCATCCCACCTCCTGGGAGTGGGGGTTGGGGGCAACTTTGAAATCTTAAATGGAACCCCCATTTTTTATTGCAGATACGGATTCTACGCCACAAAATACGTAAATTTTGTCCGAAACCTTTTTTTGATTCGTGATAGATGGCGCTGTAATCGCAAAAAATTATATTTTCCGCAATTCTCCAGAAATGATCATTGGATTGAGAAATAAAAATACCTGTTCAATATTTTTAAAGAACATAATAAAAGTTATCCCCCCCATCCTCTCGGGGTAGGGTAGGTGATAACGTTCAAATCTCAAATGGGGACCCACATTTTTCCTTGCAGAATTAGATTGTACGTGAAATTTTTATTGAAACAATTTTTTTCATTCGTGATAGATAGCGTTGAATTTTTCCGTGAAACTACTTTTAGCGTTACACAGGAACAACGACGAGGATGTAGTAGTTTTATGTTCCCTTCGGGTGCTTTTTTAATGTGAGTCCCCTTGCCTCTCACAAATCGGGGTGCTTTTTTAATGTGAGTCCCCTTGCCTCTCACTGTTCAATTAATTAGAGTAAATGTTCGAAATTTTTGCCTTCAACTTCAATACACTTATTGATCCTTTTTTCAAATGACTGTACACAGGATAGAAGCATATCTGCGGGAGTTTCAACGCAAGCGTTTCTTATGCGTTCTACCATGTTTTCACGAGTTGTTGGCACTTGTTGATAAACCTTATCTTTTAGGTAACCCCACAGAAAGAAATCCGGCGATGTCAAATCAGGCGACCTAGCAGGCCAATTAATCGGGCCACCTCTGCCAATCCACCGACCATTGTAATCACGGTCTAATACTTCCCGTGCTGCTATTGAGTTATGCGCTGGGCAACCGTCATGCTGAAACCACATACTTTGTCGAACATCCAAGGCAACATCATCAAGTAGTGGTGGTAGTTCCTGTTCCAGGAAATTTCGATATTTGATTCCATTCAAATTACCTTCAATAAAATAAGGACCAATGATTCCACACCAAACGTTAACCGAACAAGGACGTTGATGTTCAACTTGTCATAACCAGTGGGGATTTTCTACACTCCAGTAATGCATGTTATGTCGATTAACTCCACCATGGTTTGTGAATGTAGACTCATCTGAAAATAGTACATTAGCAATGAAATTGGGGTTCGTTTGCATTTGTTGAAGTGCCCATTCACAAAACACCACTCGATTATGAAAATCATCGCCATGAAGTTCTTGATGCAGTGAAATGTGATATGGGTGATACTTATGACGATGCAATATTCTGCGAATACTATCTCCGGAAATTCCGAAATCGCGATGTAATTGCCGAGTGCTTACCTGTGGGTTGTGGTGAACAGCTGCTAGCACAGCTATTTCATTAACTTCTCCTATAACAGTTGTTCTTCGTTTTCTTTTTTTAGTTTGTACGCTGCCATCCGAGATAAAGGCAGTCACAACTTTGTAAAAAAAAGAACGTGAGCGAACATTGTCTGGAAAACGCTCAGCATACAAGGCAACAACATCGTCAACATTCCTCCTACATTCACTATAAATCAGAATCATTTCAATTTTTTCTTCTACGGTTGCAGAATTCATTTTCCACTTGCAATTCTATTCAAAGAATGAAGGGTAGATATGCAGGTAATAAAAACTAGTCGAGTAAAATGAAATTGTTAGAGATGCTTTCAGTTCTAATTCTGAAAGGAAAGTGAGCTTTGACCGCATTGCACTGCCTTTTATAATAAGCCGTAGTTCGCCATACACCCACAGTGACGCGTCGAACAGTTCCCTCTTCGATTCGGGTTCCCATTTGAGATTTGAACGTTACCACCCACCCCGAGAGGATGGGGGGGAATAACTTTTATTATGTTCTTTAAAAATATTGAACAGGTAGTTTTTATTTCTCAATCCAATGATCATTTCTGGAGAATTGCGGAAAATATAATTTTTTGCGATTACAGCGCCATCTATCATGAATAAAAAAAAAAGTTTCGGACGAAACTTACGTATTTTGTGGCATAGAATTCGAATCTGCAATAAAAAATGGGGGTTTCCATTTAAGATTTCAAAGTTTCCCCCAACCCCCACCCCCAGGGGGTGGGGTGGGAGGTCGAGTTTGGTATCATTGGATGTCCCCCTTCGAAATTAACAACTTTTATTAACCACTTTTTTTTATCCAATGCATAGTTCTCGAGATATTTCAATGTCTTCATCAGATAAATCGTGCACCCTGTATATACATATATCTGTAATTTTACTACTTTTACTAATATTATTTATAATATATTATTATTACTTGTATATTAATATTGCTTAAGATATACTTATACTAAATCTTACATTTTTTGTTTTCTTTAGAATCTTTTATTTATTTTTTATTTTTATTTTTTATTTTTTAAGACATACTTATACTAAATCTTATTAAATATTTTTTTGTTTTCTTTAGAAACTTTTTTTATTTTTTTGTATGTGTGATAAATTTTTGTGCATCTTAAAAATATAACTTAAAATTACTGTAGTGAAACTATTATTAAATTTTGTCGCAATTAATGCTAAATGATTAATGTTTTACATAAATAATTAGATGGGGACATATTCTTTCTTTTACCTTTGTTACAGATCGTTTTGACATCATGTCATCATATTTAAACCAATTCGATCCTGTATGGCAGAGCTGGAGACTAAGTGCCCTTTTCGGCCGGATTTCAAGCGGTGGCACCCACCGTTCCCCTTCCACCGCTCCACGCTCAGCGGCCGAGGCGACGATCGCGGATCGCTCAGGCCCGTCGCTACGTAAGATCTCAGCTGGAGCGTACCCTCGTGTTTTATTATAATTATAATTTTTTCCTCCCTTAATAAGGAAGGAAAAAGTTACTCCCCCATCGCTCTCTCTCTCTCCCTCTCTCTCTCTCTCCCTCTCTCTCTCTCTCCCTCTCTCTCTCTCTCCCTCTCTCTCTCTCTCTCTCTCTCTCTCTCTCTCTCTCTCACGCTCGGCTCGTCGGAACAAGCCGAGCGGAGGGCGGGACCTCAAACGGATAGACGAAGTGTCATCAACGAAACGTGCAATCCTTGTGATGCGTGCATGTTGTATGCAACACGTGCATCTTCCGAAAAAATGAAAAAAGTTGTGCAGAAAAAAGCAAACACCGTCCGCTGGGACGCGAACCATCAATATCAACGACACGAGTCTAACGCACTTCCACCAAGCCCACAGATGTCTATACTATACTAGATTGCTAACTTCGATCTTTGACCTATATAAGAGCTGTGTCCCGCCCATTTTCCGGTTCGGTCATGAAGACCGCCAAAACATGGCGGCGGTGTGTGTTTGTAGTGTGTATGTGAATACCCGATGCGTATGTAGTAGTGCGTGGTAGTGCGTATGTGACACCTGATGTGTCTACTACTATTTATGTTAGTAAAACTGCAAATCTACAAACGAGATAATGCCGAATAAGTATTGTAAATTTCAAAAATACGAACAAGAAAGAATATCATTTAAAGATGTGTGTATTAATAAGGTGTTGCTAATCTAAGTGTTTGGTAAAGGTTAAAATTAAATTGAATATATACAGTTCAAAATATGTCAAAGTATTTATATTAATATTTTTTACATACATATAAAGAATAAAATGCAACTTATGTATTATTAAATAATATTAATTTTGTAAATTTGTGTCTGTTACTTGCAGGATTTCTATCTTTCGTTGTTTTTGTAAGTGAATACATTCTAATATTAATAATATTAATAATATTAACAATGTTTAATTGCAAGATAACCCTCACATATTACAAACCTCGAACATTTATTATATATAAATGTATTCTACTTACTTAAATAAGTGATATCCTTTTTTATTCGTATTATTGCAATTAACAATGCAACATGTACTTGGCATTATCTCGTTTATATATTTGCAGTTTTACTAATATAAATAGCAGTAGATACGACACATCAGTGTAGACACATCAGGTATCACATACTTACAGTACAGCACTACTACACACGCATCGGATACTCACGTACGCACTACAAACACACACCGCCGCCATGTTTTGGCGGTCTTCATGGCCGAACCGGAAAATAGGCGGGACACAGCTCTTATATAGGTCAAAGATCGAAGTTAGCAATCTAGTATAGTATAGACATCTGTGACCAAGCCATACTCTCTTTGAGAAACTAGTTCCTTCATTTAGTTGACCAGGCACTCGCGATTTTCAATCGTGATTTTCTCGCAAACGCTTCAACGTCACTCCATATCTTTATATACAATGTTAATTTGTCATGCAAATCTATCAACGCAACGAGTTTCGTCGAAATCGATTGATCTTGATCATCTCTTTGGATTCACGCCGAGAGGGAAACATCAGTCTCAGCCGTGTATCGGGAAGCACAAGGTTTGTTCTTTTTCGAAGCACTTTCTGAATTAGTGTACACTAGTGCAAGAAGTATACACCAAAGCATTCTGTTTTATCGGAAATGACGTCGACATCGCTGTTCTTTTTCGAAGTGCAACAGCGGTCAGTGCAACAGTTCAGTGCACTGGCTACCCCAGATCTTGAGCTAGTGCAGCCAGTTTAGCGGTATTTAGGCATCAAGTCAAAGAAAGAAAATCTGTATTTTATCACATCTTTATTGTAATTATTTGTTTCAACTCACACAGACAATATATATTTCAATAATTTTTTTTTCTTGATATATATTCTTAAGACTATTCTCCTGAATAATCTTAATAAAATAAAATAAAATAAAATTTGTAAATATATTAAAAGGAAATAATGGAAAATATTGATATGAAGAAATCGCACATATACAGAAGGATGTAGAGGGAAATGTTATAATTAATAATGGATACGTCACCTGTGTCTCTGAAAATATTAAATTTTTTATCTAAACACTACAAATTATGTAAATAATCAAATAAAGAATTAAGTTACATGATATATTTGTAGGTGGCATACAATTTGAATTGAGTTACAATAACATTAATTTTGGTTGTAACCAAATACAGTGTTCTGTTGATGGTAAAACATTAATAATACGTGATGATGTTGTAATCGTAGATCAAGAAACAAATAAAGAAAATGATGCTGCGAACTGAATATAATACATTTACCTGGTGTGATGCAAGTACAAAATTATTTTTAAGTATTTATAAAGAGATGAATAAACTGTTCAAGAATAGAAAAATTGCTACAAAAAAAATTTTATGGAATAAGATAACAATACAAATGAATAGTAAAGGATACAATGTAAATGTAATTCAAGTCGAGAACAAGTACAAATCTCTCGAAAGATCCTATAAAAATATAATCTCCAATAGTAAAAAAAACAGGTAGAGGTCGTATGACGTGTCCGTACGAAACGTAAGTATGATATATTGAGTTAATTGAGTTAAAATAAAAAAATATTGTGTGGAATATTGAAAATATTGTGTGGAATATATTAATAAAAAATATTTATAATTATTACAGAGAATTGACTGAATTATTAGGATCAAAACATAGTATCGAACCATTAACTGTGTCTGATAGAGAAGGCCTCATTATAAGAAATGACGTGGCAATAGAGAAATCTTTGTAAGTAGTGCATACATACTTAAATCCTACTTATTTTAATATTATTATATATATCTAAAAAAATATATAAATCTAAATTAATAGGGGCTTATAACATTTTACTAGTACCTAATATCTTTAATTAATATGTAGAATAATGAAAGTTAAGAATAGATAAAGTTTCATGTTCATGTTTTAATTACTTATTTATTATCTATTTACTTAGACCAATAGATGATAATAATGATAATGAATCTATGGATGAGCCAAACATACGAAGTGCACTGGCAACAGATGTACCAACCTCAAAACAGAATTTTGAGACTCAAAACATTGCAAGTAATTGTTCCAAGCAAGTATTGTGCAATAAGTTGAACAAAAATATTTTTTAGTGATGTATAACTAGTTTCAGATTAATCAGAAACATATGTTACAGACATTATTTTAAAAAAATGAGAGGAAACAAATGGGCACTACAGCTCGATTTTTAGAAAGTTGCCAAAAAAGTAAAATCGAACTGTCAACGGACATTGTTGAAGGTAAAAATATTAAGAATGAGATACAAAAGGAGTTGTTAAATGAATACCAAAAAATAAGAATTGCAGAAGAAGAATGTGTTGAACAACTTAAAAAAGCTAATAAATTGAAGGAGGAAAAAAATCGACTACTTAAAGAATTTCTACATTACTCAGTACAAAAGAATGAAATGTTTATTTAATATCAGTTAAAGTCTTACAGTAATTTAAATTTTATAGTTAAATATAAAAATTATTTTTAAATGAGAGTTTATTATGAAAGTCTTATTTCAAAAAGTTTGTATTTGAAGTTTCTATGTTATCAATATTAATCTTTTAAAAAATGTTATAAGTATGAATATTTAATAGAAGTTTAAAGAAATGTTTTGTTTTCAAAGAAATAAAATAAAATATTATTAATAAAGATACTTGTAATAAATGATATTTGAAAAAATGATATTTGATGATTAATAAAGATATTTGTAATAAATGATACTTGAAGAAATGATTTGTAATAAAGGAAAGGATAATAAAGTAAATTGTATTTTTGAAATATTGTTTATTATTATTTGATTTCCTATGTCATATTATTCTGCATAAATTAAACGACATAATTGCTCACGACGATCTATTCCATTCTCTACTTTTCTAGGTGCATCATTCACTTCCACGTTGCGGTTTACAACTTCAATATCAGGATATTCATCATTTATTTGTTCTTTTAAATATTGTAAATCATTAATATCTGCAATATTATGTAGCACGCAACAGGCGTGTATGATCTGTACCATTCGCACTATGTTTCTTAACTTAAAGTGATATAACTGTCGAAAACGCTGTTTTAGACAGCCAAATGCGTTTTCAATAATCACTCGTAAAGAACTTAATTTGCGATTGAAAGTTTTTTGTGCATGTGTCATATGTCCATTATCTCTGTATGGTACAATTAGTTGTTTCAAACAGGGATATACACTATCACCCAATAAAAAATAATTATCTGTAAAAAGATTTGTAAAAAATAATGGTATCAATTTTTGTTATTAATTACCTTTGCGATATTATATTTCTTACCTTCACAAAGTTCAGACAAATCGTTGCGAATTGGTGAATTTCGAAATACCCGTGCGTCATGCACTGAGCCCGGATATCCTATGAAAACATCCATGAATTTCATTTTATGATTTACAACTCCCTGAACATGTAATGAAAAATAATGTTTTCGGTTAACATATGAATCAGAATCTTGTAATGGCCGATCAATTCGGATATGAGAACCATCAATAGCACCTACAACAATGTCAAATATAAATAATGCATCGCTATGTAATAAAAAAATAGTTAAAAAATATATGAATATAAATATGTTACCTATTACACCAGGGAATCCTTTTTCTCTTTCGTAAAAAGCTGCAGTTTCCATTTTTTCAACTGCAGTTGGATATTTTATAATATTAGGCATAATAGAGATTATAAAATCTGTAACTCTAGTAATAATATTATACAAGGCACTAAGTGTTATCCCAAATCTGTCGGCAACATCTCTGTATGATGCACTTTCATGCCCTATAAACCATAAATAAGTCAATATATATTTTTCGGCTGTAATTTTAGAGCCTACAAGATCTATAAGAAAATACACTTTAAGTTATACATATAGCATAAAATATATTATTTTGTTAAGAAGTAAATTATGCAGACAGCACTAATGTCCAAAACCAGGACATAAGACATCTTTCAGATCTCTTTAAGATGTCTGGTCGTAAGATGTCTAAAAGATGTCTTAAAGATGTCTTATTCCCGTTTCAGACATTCTGTCTGGGTATTTTCTTTCCAACCTATATCACATATAAGTTATTTAAACTTTTCTGCAAACAAAACTTAAAGACAATCAAAATTTTTATTATAATACTTACTTTCTATGGAAGTAAATATTTCCGAAACTCTGAACTGGTCTATTAAACTGTATGTTATTTGTCGTGATAAGCGGAAGTGCATTATAAAATCCATATCATTGTAATTATGTACAATATTTTCTACATAATTAACAATTTTAATATGTGCAATTCGTTGGATTATACCAAGAATTGGATGTAATATTAATATATTTTGATCTACAAATTTAATATAAGTTATAGATAATTTTTAGTCTTTTCTTGAAATTTATAATATAAATTAATAATATAATAAAATTTATTGTATATTTAATATTACCGTATATTTCATATTACCGTCATCATTTTCATCTACGATAGGTTGTAACGGTGGTATTATCATAAAATCTTCTTCATCTGAAGAATCAAATAATAATGCGTAATGCGCCATATTGCTTACTGCACTTTAATGTTCTTTTATCATTGGTGCCACTTCTGCACTGATGTAAACCAGTGTTGTATTTGTTTGCTCCAGTCTGTCCTAGTTCAGTTCAGTACGGATCTAGTGCAGTTTACGTGCTTCGAAAAAGAACAAACCTACAGTCTTGGCAACGTTGCGAGTTAGAGCGAGATGGAGCGAACACATTTTCTCTCTTTCTCTCTCTCTCGCTTGGCTCGTCGAAACAGCCGAGCGGTAGATGGGCCTCAGGCGAACATACCAGGTGTATGCATAAGTTTTTTCCGGTTTTTTGGTACAAAAAAACACGTAATTTTCAAGGGAAATTAATTTTTGTTTTATTCAAAATATTGGCCATTGGCTTCTACATATTTCGCCCATCTTTCAGGTAACTTATGAATACCATGCCAGAAAAACTGCTTGTCTTTTGCGGCAAACTATTCGTCGAGCCATTTTCCAACTTCCTCGAAATTGCTGAAGTGCTGCTCTGCGAGCACGTGCCCCATTGATGCGAAGAGGTGATAGTCAGATGGCGCCAGGTCTGACGAATACGGCTGGTGCGGAAGGATGTCCCATCCAAGCGATTTCAAGGTTTCTTTCATTGGTTTTGCTGTGTGAGACGGCGCATTATCGTGTAACAAAATCACTTTGCCATGTCTTCTGGCCCATTCCGGTCGTCTTTCGATTAATGCGTGGTTTAAATTAATCATTTGTTGGCGATAGCGTTGTGTATTAACGGTTTCGCCGGGCTTCAAGAGTTAATAATATACAATACCGCTCTGGTCCCACCAGACACAGAGCATGGTCTTCTTGCCGAAGCGATTTGGCCTTGGTGTTGAAGGACCGGCTTCGCCAGGTGAAAGCCACGATTTTTTCCGCTTCGGGTTTTCAAAATAAATCCATTTTTCGTCACCCGTCACAATTCGATGAAAAAATGATTTCCTTTCGTGGCGTTGAAGCAGCACTTCACAAGTGACTTTGCGATTTTCCATTTGACGTTCATTCAAGTCGTGTGGGACCTATTTACCGAGTTTATTGATCTTCCCCATTGCTCGTAAACGTCTGCTGATTGTTTCTTGTGACACATGTCTTCTGCTAATTGCCGTTGAGTTAGAGTTGGGTCATCATCCAATAACTCCTGCAATTGCTCGTTTTCGCATTTTTGTGGTCTACCAGAGCGCTCACTGTCTTTCATATTAAAATCACCACTTTTAAATTGTCGAAACCATGTCTCATATGTTCTAATCGATGGAGCTTGTTCACCATATGTTTCTACCAGCAAACGTTGACTTTCAACAGTCTTTCTCTTTTGATTAAGTAAGAAAAGCAATGCGTGCCGCAAATGTTCTTTTTCAGGCACAAAACTCGACATGATCACTGGACGATAAAACAAAGATGCTAGTTTTTGGCGGACTCAACTTGTGTGTGTTTGTAGTTTAATGTCAGACGAACAAAATGACGTATGTGTGAAATTAATACGCTACGTACTTTTCGCTGGCGCCATCTCTTAGTTAAACCGGAAAACACTTATGCATACACCTGGTAGACGGGAGCAGTTTCTCTCTCTCTCTCTCTCTCTCTCTCTCTCTCTCTCTCTCTCTCTCTCTCTCTCTCTCTCTCTCTCTCTCTCTCTCTCCCCCTCTCTCCCCCTCTCTCCCCTCTCTCCCCTCTCTCCCCCTCTCTCCCCCTCTCCCCCTCTCTTCACCCCTCTATCTCCCCCTCTCTCTCCCCTCTCTCTCCCCTCACTCTCTCCCTCTCTCTCCCTCTCTCTCTCCCTCTCTCTCCCCTCTCTCCCTCTCTCTCTCCCTCTCTCTCCCTCTCTCTCCCTCTCTCTCCCTCTCTCCCCTCTCACCCTCTCTCCCCCTCTCTCTCCCTCTCTCTCTCCCTCTCTCTCCCACTCTCTCCCACTCTCTCTCCCCTCTCTCCCCCTCTCTCCCCCTCTCTCCCCCTCTCCCCATCTCCCCCTCTCTTCCCCCTCTCTCTCCCCTCTCTCTCTCCCTCTCTCTCCCCTCTCTCTCCCCCTCTCTCCCCCTCTCTCTCCCCTCTCTCTCCCTCCTCTCTCTCCCTCTCTCTCCCCTCTCTCTCCCCTCTCTCTCCCTCTCTCTCTCCCTCTCTCTCCCTCTCTCTCCCTCTCTCTCCCTCTCTCTCCTCTCTCTCTCCCTCTCTCTCTCTCTCCCTCTCTCTCTCCGTCTCTCTCTCCCTCTCTCTCTCCCTCTCTCTCTCCTCTCTCTCTCCCTCTCTCTCTCTCTCCCTCTCTCTCTCCCTCTCTCTCTCCCTCTCTCTCTCCCTCTCTCTCTCCCTCTCTCTCTCCCTCTCTCTCTCCCTCTCTCTCTCCCTCTCTCCCTCCCTCTCTCTCTCCCTCTCTCTCTCCCTCTCTCTCTCCCTCTCTCTCTCCCTCTCTCTCTCCCTCTCTCTCTCCCTCTCTCTCTCCCTCTCTCTCTCCCTCTCTCTCTCCCTCTCTCTCTCCCTCTCTCTCTCCCTCTCTCACTCCCTCTCTCTCCTTCTCTCTCCCTCTCTCTCCCTCTCTCTGTTATTGTAATTTATTGTGAGAGAAAATATATTATCACAATACAACTACAAATAAGATTACTACAATGAGATTCTACAAAAGATTCTGCAAAGTTTTGATGTAGAAAAGAAATATTGTTCCTTCAATAAGTCTAACATATGAGCAGCTAAGTATGGCTAATTCTGTTACATTGCCCAAGATTCAAATAGAGGAGACAGCAATAATGAATTCACACACTGGTATTTATCGCCCTCTAATCTCGCATAACAATAACATGATGAGACTTACATGTCAGCGGATTTATTAATTATCTTAGCTAAAGAAAATCTGAAATAAGATGATGCGGTACGCGCCGTCAGTTGTCTGCGATTGTTATCGTAGATAGTACAGAGAGACACCAGTCACACATGATGCCCGTTTTAGCGTTGTAAAATTATCCGTCACATTTTTCACTTATATCTCTGCAACCAGTAGAGATATCGACATCAGTAATATTACAAATGATACAAATTTTTACAAATTTTATTTGTAAAAATTTGTATTATTTGTAGCATTATTATACAATTACAAATAAAATGACAAAGAATAAATATTACAAATAATAATATTAATAATAAAGTATTATGCCTAATAATTTCGGCGCGCCGAGAAAACTTTTCAGTATTGTCATAGAGAGGAGAGGAGAGAGAGACAGTCGCGCCCGCGATTCAGATTATAGGCTAGAAAGAATTAGGTTCGCTCGCTGAGCGAGAACGAGAGCGAGAAGGAGGGAATGATATTCTCTCTCGCTCAGCGCGCCGACGATTGCCGATCGCGTGGCTCACACCGATAGACCGAGCCGGCTGTATGTGCGTACATAGCGAGGGAAATTCTCGTACAAGCCTGTACGTCACCAAATTCGCATCACTGTCTGACAGTTTTCTTAAAAGAAAAAAAATATGCAAAAGAACGGATATCTGGCGGCGGTATCAGGAGCAGGAATATATCTAGCCGGTGCGGGAACTTTTTTTATCTGAGTCAATGCAGGACCATGATAACTTCTCCGCCGGTGTGAGGGAATGGTGGTCGTTCCCTTTAGAAAATTCGCAACTGCGACTTACGGAAATCGAGAACCCCAACCCGCCGGGTGATGGGTCCGTACACCGTCGCCGCCGCCAGATATTCGTCTGCCAGCTCTAAAACTTATTATGCATTTGCTAGAAAATTATGACATCAAACATTTGAAAGTCTCTTTTGCGAAACTCCATCACATTTCATTAATACGCAAATAGATTGAAATGACATAATTTTTAATTAAATAGATGTTTGTATTATATATTTACATTTGTATTATATATTTATTTATAAATTGTTCTATTTGTGTCGTGTTTGGTGTCTTTTTAATGGTAAAACATCTTATGAAGCCATTGCAATAATTTTTAAACGAATAAAACGCGAAACATAAAAGTTGTAATTTTAGTGAAGGTATTTAAAGTTGTGAGTTCATTGCTACGGAGAGGTTCCCGATATCGCGAAAGCGAGAGCGAGAACGAGTAAAGAGCAAGCGAGATGTCACTATGGAAAGCGATACGTAAACAGATCGCCGCGAGCTTCGGCACTTTTCGAGGAAGTGTCATCTCGCTTCCTCTTTACTCGTTCTCGCTCTCGCTTCTGCAACGTCGGGAATCTATCCGTAGTAAGGAACTCAGGCATTTAAATATTTTCTAACATGAAAATTACAACTTTTACGTTTCGCATTTTACCTGTTTTAAAATAATTGCAATGGCTTAATGAGATGTTTTATCATTAAAATAACATCAAACACGACAGAAATCGGGCAATTATTGAATAAATATATAATACTAATATTGAATATGTAGTCAGTTAAAAAATATGCGATTTGTGTCATGTTTAGTGTCATTTTAATGGTAAAGCATTTCTCTTAGCCATAGCTACAACTTTCCCACCGATAAGGTGTAAAGTAAATGTTTATTACTGCTACAACTGTTAGATAAGAGTGTTAGTGACACTTACGAAACGAACTCATGGCGATTCTCCACTGTCTCTACACAAATGCATATTGTGCGAGTTGGTATATTCGGTGATATATAGTACTGCTCCAGTGGTACAATGTGTCGCGTAATGATGTCACTGACACAATGATATATACGTATAGTATATGCATTTGGGAAACAGTGAAAAATCGGTATTGCGCGCTGACTTCGTGCGTGCCGTAACATATAAGCAGCTCGAAAAAAACATCCGACGAAAGCATTACGACATTACGCATGATAACGCGAATAATCAGCTAAGAAATATAAATAATAATCCATATCACGAGCAAAAGGTGATGGTAAAGGAAGTGGAATGCATAAATCACCTGCTTCGTAATCTGTGCAGGAAGCTGAGAATCGTATCACAAATGACTCAGCCGAAAATGCAAAGAAAACGTGGCTTTGCGCAAATACGAAATGTTGTAGAAAACAACATTGTAAATATGCGAAGAGACTTGAGAAAAGCAGTCGCTATACGAAATGAAGAAGGGCGA